CTTACAATATGTAAGATTTTTTATTCTTATTTTCTTAACAAAGTGACAATTGAAATTTAATTAATCTAATTGATTTTCATTGCAAGTAATTAAATTTTAATGTATGAAAACTAAAATTACAATAATTAAATCTTAATAAAATATTTTAAAAAATTCAAAAATATTAATAATTTAATGACATGAGAGGCCATGTCCGACTTCAATATCTCTGTGGAATCCATTCTAATTAGAGAACCGTTAATTTTAACGGAATATTGAAATGAGAGTTAAATAAGGGTTAATTTGCCACCGCTCATGAGTTTAAGGGGTTAACTGCTACTGATTTCAGTTGAGGGGCTTTTTTGCCACCTCTTGACATGTTTAGGGGGTAATTTGCATGATTTGCCATTTTAAATCCCATTACCCTTCTAAAAAGATGGGCCCATGAAATTATTTTGCACTTAAGTTCTAAGAAAATATATACAATTTTCGGTAGGAAAAGAACGCGGGATCAGCGCATTACTTTGTTGATTGGTTACAACCAACAAGATATTATTTTATGTTTTTTTTTTCTCTTTTACATTAATGAATTATATAAGGAGATAATCGTTAATTTTTTAAAACTTTTTTTTATCTAATTCAAGATTTAAATTTAAAATTTTTAATTTAAAATCTTAAATTTTTAATAAATTATCTCCAAAATTTTTTAAATGTTGATTACACAATAAAACATAATTTTTTTTATTTTTTATCTCAGTTGACTTACATATCATAAGATATAAACTCAAAATTTATTAATTTTAATAAAAAAAACTATCATTAAATTTTTTTTTTGAACATATTTTACAAAAAGCGAATTTTAAATCCTGCCTAAAGGAATGCACGAATAACTAATATCATTAGGCCTCAAGCGTCAGGTGCTATCATTGAATTATTTAATTTACTCACGCTTTTAAAAAGTTATTATTCTATAGATTTTATAAGATAAATATTATGAACGAACGAAAAAACAAGCGTTTTAATTATGAGGAGGAATAAAATTGCCCAATGGACGCCAGCCAGAATAGACTTTTCGCCATACAACAATTCAACAACGATAGACATAATAATAAAAAGGCTGCTTGGCTTTTATAACTGTCAAAGAGAAAAGTGTCGAGCAAACCAGCATCTTACAGCTGACACTTATAATAGGCCGGCAAATCCTGCCTCCTTCCACCTTCGTATCAGAGCCAGCTCCTCCCCCTTTTCTCCCCACTACTTATAATACGGGACTCTAACAGCCTTCAACATAAATGGCTGCTGCTTCGCAAGAAATTAAGCTAGCACCCATCATTGACGGCGCCGAGCAGTCGAATGATGACGGGTTTGCTGCCGCTGATGATTACGAGGACGAGATTGCGTACTCTGGATGCGGTTGCTTCCAGCGTTTTTGCCTACGGTGGCGCGGAGGAATCAATGGTGGATATGGGTATTTGGTGCGGCGGCAAGAAGAGGAGATTAGAGAGAGTTGGGTGGTGAGAGCGGTGAAGAAGCTCAAGGAGGTTTCGGAGGTTTTGGCGGGACCGAAGTGGAAGAATTTCATCCGGAGGTTCAGTGTTCATGGAATTAACAAGAAAAGAAGGATGAATTTTCAGTATGATCCTCAAAGTTACGCGCTTAATTTCGATGAAGGGATGAACAAGGGAGGAGATGAAGGTTTTCCTGCTTTCTCTTCTAGATTTGCTGTGACGCGATGAGCCAGCTGGTTTTTTTGCTTGCATTTTTTGCTGATTTTGCTATTTATTTCAATTTACTTTTCATATCTTTCTATTGGATGTAAATTCTTCATTTGTTTGGGACCTTTGGGTTTCATTTGTCTCTGTAAAAATACCAGTTTCCAAAATCATTCATTATGACTTCATGTTGAAGATCGAATGTGACACGGTTTGAAAGTCATGGGTTTGGGTTGGAAGGAATGGTAGGAAAGGGTGCACAACTATTCCTTCTCTTCCATTTCTCTCCTCCCTCCCTTCATTTGGAATAAATTAGAAAAAAAAAATTAAAACAAAGAACTTTCCTCCCCTATTCAATTTTTTTCTAATTAAATTGAAGAATTTTTCTCCTTTCCCTTCTTTTTTATGTTTCTCTTGACTTAAATATATTGTAAAAATATTAATTATTTATTAAATGCATTACCTTAAAATTGTTAAAGAGAAATTAATCTTAAATTACATAAAAACTTAGGAACTAAGAGATACCTGGCTGTCCAAACCAATAAACATTCCTCCCACCAATGTCGAGATTTTGCACTCGTGTACATGCAAGAGTAAAATTATATAAAAAAATATTATAATTATAATGCTATGTAATATTGTAATCTTGTAATTTAATATGTTATTATATAATTAATTTTTTATATAAAAATTCATTTATAATATTATATATCTATTTATTTAATACCACAATTATAAATTTATAATTTTACATTAAACTATAGCATTGCCAAATATATATATATATATATATATTTGCTTGCCTGCAATAGCTGCTAAAATTTGACACAATAAATTACAGAACAAAAGAAGCTATTATCACTACCATAACTGTAAGGAATCATGCAACATTATTACACTATACACCACAACCCTGAACTATTCTTATTCACATATATGAAGAGAAACAAAAATCATATAAATCTGCCCAATGCATTTAGGAATATATCAAATTCACTTACATTAACATAATTCCTAAACTTCCTAAGGATATAACACGGTGTTATACCACACAACACCGTTGGGTGCCTGATGCCTCTAACTAGACCTGCAAAATGGCACAGATCGGTTCCTTATAGCATCCTATGCATTAGCCCTTAACTTTCCGTAGTAGAAGCAATATGTCTTCCGAGAAGAAGCAATATGACTTCTTTCTTACTCAAACCCCACAGCAAATCCTTGAAACCCTTATATTGCTGTAATCCTATGTAGTATGTTGGATTTTTCGTTGTCTGGGAAATTGGAGTGTAGTCCACTCAGAAATGGTCCTTCACTTTCTTCCATTTACATAAAGCGTTCACCACTGCTGTTTTCACCTGCATTACTTCTTTTCGAATTACGGTTGGTGCAAAGCTCTTTATACCATGATAAATTAGCAAGAAGACGATTTAATCTGTATACCTTTTGCGTTTAGTCTTTATGGTCGTTGAAGTTGAGGGATTACTGTGCCAGTTCCTCTTCCTTTGGTTGATGAACCAATTATTTATCTGCTTTAATTGCAATCCTGTTTCTTGGACCAATCTTGCTTTATCTTCCTCCTGGAAATTCATCCACGAAAAAAAAAACCAAAAGAGTCAGGAAATTGATTGTTGTAATCTAGCTGGATGAAGGGGAAAAAACTAGAACTTACGGTTGGGTAAGGCCACTTGGAATGTGACTGCCACCAAGCCTTTAAGACAGATGTTGTGTCACCGGGAAGTTTCCCAGCTCTTCTTTTGCGCAAAATTTCCTCTCTAATGTCAACAATCTTCTCCTTGTAACCCTGTAGGAAAATGTGTACAAATTAGCAACCTTCTGAAAACAGATAAAGAAAGGTGTGCAATTCAAGGTTCCGCCGTTACCTGTTTCAGTTCGTGTTTCAATTCTTGTCTCACACGCTCCATTAAGGACCTTTCACTCTCCGTGGGGATAAGAGGGCCAAATCCCATGCTATCTGCACCTTCCAAGCTTCCATCAAACAAGTTAGCATCGCTATCCACTTGATCATCATCATCATCAGACATTGTTGCTCCTGTACCTTCACCCGGAGAAACTCCTGTTCTTGCATCACACAGAAAACATTCGAGTCATTACCACTCCAAAAAAAGAGGAAAAAGTTACCTTTGATACAAGACTTTCAAGCATATCTATGCCATTTCAAGTTTCAACACGCTTCCTCATCAATTTTCTAGGAAGTTGTTGCTTTTAAGGTTTCAAAAAGCATTTTAGGCTATTTTGATGAATACAAACTTAAATTGTTAGGTTCTCTGCAACATGAACCACAACAGATGAAAGTATTGAAGAATCTTATTTGACCCTATGATTTAGGAAGCAAAAGTGTGGTATCTGGCATTGCAAAAAAAATTTCGGTGAATTGTCTCAAACTTTAGAAATAAACGTTCAAAGAAAATTTGAAGTGAAAGTGCCGTATCTGGCTTCCCCAGCAATGGTTTGCATGTGCAGACATCTGTGACTATGGAAGTAAAACAAAAACTTACCTGTTAAGCTTTGTAAGGATTGCTCAATTTCCCAGCAAGCCATCACTGCCTCCATTGCATGGACCCGGACATGCTGTTGCAATTGTTCTTTAAAAGAACATAGCAACAGAACATAATGTGTCTGCATCATATAAGAAAAAGATCAGTTTTCTTAACCATAACCACTGACTAGATTTCAAATTCGTATCTGTAATGCATCTGCAAGGAACCTATACTAACAGCATAACACAGAGACTCTCTTCCCCAGTGATGACCAGTCCGTCCATCATATTTTCTTTCCCGTGGCAAATATCAAACAATATAAACAGAAGCATCCTATTCCTTCTGTCTCACCAGTCTGTTGAATGTACAGATCTGCAGCTCACACTCAACTTTTTTCATATCACAGTTAAAATTATCAACGTGTTCAAAGATTTCCTTCATCACTAGTACTTTTAATGTCTAATGGTTTATGATCACAAACACAATTTCTCCCCGTCTTGGTTTTTCTGCCCCTCTATCTCCTTCAATAGATGTGTCCGTCATATTAGTGGAATTTAACAGGTCTATAGATTTCTGCACATTCATGACAAAATTCAGTTCTTATATTCCCTTTATAACATGTATCCAGTAAAGTTTCATAAAGTCTGCTTATACCAATAAAAGTATTTAAAGGTAATGTCAGAGTGAATCTGCTGAAGAAAGTGATCAAGAATATGGTTAGGACTTAGGACATAGGACCCAAATTAAGCCTATTCAAACTTGTTTCCACAGATTTGGCATGAATATAACCATTTAGTCCAATATTTAACGAAATTAACAAATAAAAGAAAGGGACTTAAAATAATTGATTGATGCTGAGGGCAGAGGAGTACAAGCTACCAATGATCTGAAATCCAGCCAGTACAGCAATTGTATTCAAATATGTCATTGCATCAGCAATTGAAGTTCAAAAGACATGCTTCTTACAATACCAATCCAATTCCTTTTTTTTCTTTCTTTCTATCATCTTCTTCCGTGCTTTATCCACCTAAAATCATTTCAGTCACACTAAAAATCTCTTAATACCCTTAATTGTCAAAACAGATCCACAACACCAAATCAATCACAAACAAAAAGGCAAACCCCCCAACTTTCCCTCTCATGGTGTGTGTGTGTGTGTGTATCTATCCTAAATTCCCAATTTCATCCACTCAATCAAGCTTCCAGAAGATACCATAAATAATCCCCTATAACCAATTGCCACCAATCTGACAAAGCCTCATTTTCCAGCACAAAATAACATCCTGAAAATCTGTCATGTAAGAACAGGAACCCAAACTGGAAAGAAATTTTAAGCTGCGTTCGGACAGGACTTTAAATGGACAGTCTTGTGATTCTGTAATTTACCAATTTGCCACTACATGTAAATAAGGATTGAAAATTTTTCAGAAAAGAACAGAAATTTTGGGTCGGGGAAGTACGGAAACATACCATGAATGGATCGAGTTCCTTGTCATCTCCCACCATGACCTGGGCCCCACCGCCGAGGGTGGAGTACTTAGCCACCACGTGCTGGGACTGAGCTAGCTGGGCGTCGATCCTCGGCAGCTGATCCACCGGCGTGGCGATCCTCAGGCACGCTACGTGTGCGGATAATAACTGCTCGTACAACGGGTGCGCCAATATCTCCGCCTTGTATCTTGCATTCTGCCAATTAAGAGCTCCGTCTCCGGCGCCGGGAGCTCCACTTTCCACTACGACGCCTTCGCTCTTGTTGGTGTTGGTGTTCATGGTCTCGCTGTTGCTGTTCTTTAAATCCGCAGATTCGACCGCGATCATAGAGTCTCCTGCAGCGGCGGTGACGTCGTCGATTACGTCGCTGTGGTTGCGGTGGAGGAGGGAGGAGGAGCGGGAGAGCCACTGGTTGGGGGCCTGCGAGGCAGCCGTGGAGTCTGAAGCGGTAGTGGTGGTGTGGAGGTTGAGGAAGTTAGGGTCGGAAAAGTGGGTGTGCGCTTGCGGTGGCTGCGTCTGTTGGGAGCGGAGCAGCGCGCTGTTTAACCAATTGGGTGCAGTTGTTTCTGGCAGCTGCTGACTCTGTTGCTGTTGGCTTGGTTGTTGTTGCTGGTCAGTGAAGTGGTGGAGCGGAAGATCCTGCGACAGGTGATTGTGGTGAAACGCCATGCTTAATATCTGAGAGAGAAAGCGAAGACGATGACGGCGTTGACGATGATTATGAGTTCATGATGGTTTAGAGATATAGAGGGAAAGGGAGTGAAGAGTGTAAGAGTCTGTGAGATAGACAAGAAGCTGTAGATATATGAAATAACAAGAGAGAGAAAGGGCAGAAGAAAAAGAAGAAGAAGAAGAAGAAGAAGAAGAGAGCTATGGGAGAAGCATGGTGGTTTTGAAATGGTGGTTTTCAGATGAAGAAAACTGCTAATTATGGTGTTTCATGAAGAGAATTGCTGGGGGACCATTACAGTATTATTAATTTTTTTTTATATATTAAAAATAAATTATTAATTTAGATAAAATACTACTCATTCCTACAATTAGATTTTTTTTTAATAATTTTTACATTGTAAGTTAAGTGCTA